CAAAAATAAAGCAAAGAGCTCTTGAAAGCGCACAGCGGTAGGAAAATAAAATGCATGGGGTACATCGTACGCGTCTTATGCCTCAAGGCTAGGAAAAGAAACTCACTTCAGTATCCAAGGTTTAGATTAATTCTCCCCCTAGTAACAAAAACTGGACTGCAAGCGGCTGTTCATAGCTTATAGCCACTAGCGTGTTCCCCACGAGAGAGACTCTCATAGTCTCCATCTCAGACCCCACCTGCGGGTGGAAGTGGGAGGGCGCCATCTGCCGGTGAGCTACTGAAGGTGCGCCTACGAAATCACAATGAGTCCTATTAACTCCTTACCCGGGCCGCGTGGACATGCTCGTGACTCCCACGAACCCTTCCAGTGTAATTCTTCAAATTCTTCTCACATTAGGATAGCTATGAGAATGAAGTCGCCCCCACGTAAAATAATTACAATACATCTTGTTTTTCTATTTCTTGTTCGTGCTGGATAGGATACAAGGGCCCTATACAGAATATAAATCATCAGAATTAACCTCGAAAAACCCGGTTCCGGAACGAGACGTTGGAGAAACTTCCAGATTGTGGTTGGTCTGTGCTGCCGATGAGCTTCAGAGCACTGTGCAGCCGGAACGCAGGCGCCAAGCAAAAAAAAAAAAACTACTCTCATCAGAAAAAAACACGCGGAATCGCTCTCTACGTGACTTCTGAAGACGTTATATGAATCCATGCGATATATATTAATACATGATTCATAACAGCGACGCTGCATGGAGTTTCATCCTATCGGAAACCTCTGTGGTGTCCGCAGATCTAATCTGCTCACGAAAGAAAGGATGCTGTACGATTTTGAAATGTAATAATAACTGGTCACAGATAAAAAGGTACCGGGGCCGTCAATACAGATCAGCCCCCCTGTTGCAGTAACTGCAGCTGGTGCTTCTGGAAATGCAATAGTATACTGTAGCTCCTGTTCCCTCATCCCCCTTGTGCGTGATGCGCTTTCACGTCCGTTTGATCTCACCTGGGCGGGTCTGTAGTTCTCCCCGTCGTTTAACGCGACGAACACACGCTCTCACGTCCTCCTCCTCTGGGGGGGGGAAAGGACAAAAAACCCATGAATCCCCATCTAGCCTTCAAGAAATCCCAAGTAGTAAAAAAGGGAACATCCCAGCCGAGGGGGCACCCGGATTTGAACCGGGGACCTCTTGATCTGCAGTCAAATGCTCTACCACTGAGCTATACCCCCGCTACGGGAACACTGGCCGTACCTAGTCGCTGACGTGGGCGTCATTTGACTTTGTATGCGTGTGAGGAGGAACTCGGGGGTGTGAGTGCAGCTCTTTAAAACAATCTAGCCGTGTTATTTCGCTTCGTTCAGATAGTCCTAAGAGCTGGGTCGCGGTCTTAGTGTGGGCTTCGCGCTGTCTGCTTTAAATCTCACCATTCTTCACAGTTATACCGCACCCCGGCCTCACAGCCCACATACAGTCTGTTTTGTTAAACTTGCACCAGCTTTGACTACAGTTTCGTTCTGGCGCTTGGGCTGAAACGCTGAAGACACCCCCCACCGCAATGTGTTACACTGAAAAATGAAGTTAGCGGTTGCACAGTTTCAAAATACCACCACGGTGACTTTATCTCTATTTTATATATATATATGCATAAGAGTATATAACATGTTTTATTGCCACGTAAAAAACATGTTTCTTTTCCACAAGCGATATTGTATGTAAATCAGATCGCAGGGATTATTCAGGGCACGGAGTCGCTTGTTATGCACATTTGTGTCAGTAGGAGGCGCTGGCACCCAAGGAATAGCGGAATGGCGACGTGGCATCAGACACTGAGTTGTGTGCGGGTCTCTACGCACACCAGACCTGCGTAGGAGCACGTAACCCGTCAACACAACACAGTGAGTAGTTAATTGCAGCTCCTAAAAAACACATTAATTAGCCGCGATTAATCGCATTACCCGGGACTGCAGGTTTGCCCATACCTGAAGAAAGTATCAGGTATGGACGCTCACCCGATTCACAGAACTGTTTCTATTTTTTACACGGATGCAAACCAGGGGCACACAGATTCGAACCCGAGACCCCGTCAGCTCTGCACCCATACGTCGGAAAAGGCTGCCTTTGACCCCGCTCACGTCGTCCTCGTTTTAAGCAATGTGTAATGCACGAAGACTAAATTATACACCCATTCCTTGGGTGGATGCTGCACATTGGTGGTGGTGGAGGGGAGCCCCATTACCTGTAAAGCGCTTTGAGTGGAGTGTCCAGAAAAGCGCTATATAAGTGTAAGCAATTATTATTATTATTCAATAGGTAGATATGAAGCCTATATATTGCCCTACCAATAAAGGAGGTAAAATGACAATGTTTCCTAAACATACCGTTAAGTGCCAATGCACCATGCATTGGGAACTAATCAAAACCTTTACCAAACAGTAAAAACTAAAATATATTTTAATTTCAGCTTTCAGTTCTCATTTACGGCCTTTCCCTTTCCCCCCATGGTAAACTTTAAATTAAAAAAAAGAGAGAAACCAGTCTGAAAATCCACATCACTGACCGTTGTCGGCCGATGTTAACCCGCTTGATAGAAGGTTACTCTTTTAATTAGTTCGTCTTTCTCCAGACGACAACTAAAACCACACCTGGAAACTGACCTTCAGCACAAACATACGGTATGCCAAGTTTTAATATAACGTATTAATATAATATTAGTACGTGGGTATCGTTATTAATAGTGGCAATACTCGCCTGCTGACCAGAGGGGGAAATATTTTGTGAGAACGACACAGAGCAACAGCAGCGCCGTGAATAAAATTTCAACCCCAACAGGACCAACCAGAGATTTTCCCGCCAGTTTTACGGCCTTCAATCCCAATCCGGCTGTTCGTGAAAACACTTAAACCACACACGACAGTGGAAAAAAACCGCGCCAAATGTCGAAAAAAGGGGAACAAACCTGACTGCCTCTTGGAAAATGTTGCGATTTCAGGCTCTAGGTCACCGCAATATTCATTAATCTCGTAGTTACGGAATCCGAGAACGGACATTTTAAGGGGGGAAAAAGTTATATGTCGCGGGAAGGACTTAATATCTCTGGGCCAGATATGGACACTTTCATGTTTGCAAGGCGGTGAAGTGGAGCCACAGCGAGGCTTTCTGATTCCCAGCTGTTTATTCAAGTGGGTTTTTACAGCAGCAAACGCAGATTACACATCAAGATATTCTTTCCCAACAGACAGGAAAAACAACACACTACAACACAGGAATAGTAATACTGTGATTTTTCGGGGTGGTACATAAATGTGCATCTTCTTGGAGCGGGCAGGTGTAGGCTCAGTTTACAGTCCCGCTGAGTGCAAGTCTGGCTCTCGTCATTGCAGACAGGTGCTGGAGACACGTCTGGTTCTTTCACAGGAACGCCTCTTCACCAGCAGGTGGCGCACAGTGAGACGTGTAGCTGGGAGGTCGGCACCCGCAAGAGTGATGAAGAAAACCGAACGCCTTTTTTTGTTTAACATCTAGCCATGTAGAGACAGAGAGAAGAGTAGGCTAAGTCAAGGGCCAGCCCAGAGACATCAACAACATACACTTTATTCAATCATATCTAGATGTAGGAGAGGGGAGAAAATCCCAGAACCATATAACTTGTACTTAAAAATATATTCTTAATATTTTCGTAGCACTGGCATACAGAGTGTTTCAGAAGACTGGTGTATTTGGTTTGCTTCCTTATACATTGGGCCCTACGTGGCATATATGAAGCCTCATTTTGCTTGTGTTTCAAAAACTCTTAGTCACTTCTGTCCCCTTACACAGTAGAGAGTGGAGAGTACCAGCTCTTGGCAAACTGCCTCTGCTGTTTCCTGATTTCTCATGCTCTAATGCTCCTCTTTGCCTCCGCAGGTAAGGCATCACCTCCTGGGATTCACCCCTGTTTCTCCCCATGCCAGTGAAGGGCCAGGTCAGTCTGCCAGGGACTAGACTCCCTCAGGATTGAACTAGTAATAGGTAGGTAGGTCCCTTTTCAGACCATGAAGGCCCATGTGGAAAGCAGGCGGTGGCTGACCTGGGAGCTGTCTGGAAGGAATCAGAGCAGCTCCATCGCTTGCCCCTGCCTGGGGTTGAACCCGGGACCTAGACGCCCTTGCTACCAGGGCTCCTTTCAACTGGTAATCCATCCATCCATTTTTACTCTGCTTTTCCTGGTGAGGGTCGCAGCTCAACTTGTAACGCTGAAGTTAACTCTGCTAAACGGGCGCTGCCCATCCTTGTTGTAGGGCATCATCAGGAATGCAGTCACGTGACCGCCGATGTCGGGGAAACCAGCCAGCAGCTGAGCTGAGCTTGACCCTGCAGATGCTCAAACGGAGGACAGTCCAGGACCTGTGGGCGGAAAACTAGGCAAGTACCAGCCTGAGGCGTTTCCTAGGCGACAGGGTTTCCACGGCCTCCATGTCGCAGACCACTGTGGGTCTGGCCGCTCCTGTGGTCAGAGCTGAGGGACAGAGGCAGGGAGGCAGGGGGCCCAGAGGACAGAGCTGAGGGACAGAGGCAGGGAGGCAGTGAAGCAGGTGGTGCAATGGGTCTAGTCCCTCCCTCCTCCTCCTATCTAGAACAGAGGAATTCAGAACTGAGCGGAACAGAATGGAGAGAAAAGCGTTTGGGATTCGATTCTGTCCATGAGAAGAAGAGAGCAGGAGAACGGGGAGGGTTGGAAATTTCTCTCCCCTAGCGTCAGTTCCTCCATTCCCAGGCAGGAAAGTTCCTCCGGAGAGCACACCTCAGTCTGCGAGTCCAGCGCTGTCGGTCTGCCTGCTGTCCCTGTGGCATCCCTGCTCTGGAAAAGACAGAAACGCCAACACTGGAGCCCAGGCTTCTGCACAGCACGGTTTTCTTAAATGGGGTGACCTGCCTCATGTTCAGGTGGGCCCAACAGCCTGCAGAACACTATGCAACTCTTATTTTCTTCCCCTGCTCATGCTCCCTGGTTCAAACTGCTTTGGGAAGTCTGTGCAGCACTCTGTCCCTTTCCTCCTGGGTCTTTGTCACCGCCGGAGAAGCAACAACAGGGCTGAGAATCAGGCAGAACACAGACAACCCCGCAGAGAGCTGCTCCTGTGAACACCTGCTGTAAAGGGCTCGTGCATCATCCAGGTTGCGATGCACAGAAGTATCAGCACCGTAATGCCAGAAATAACACCACACTTTCTACATTTTCATTAATTAGTGTGGTAGATGCCTTGATCCAGAGTGATTTACGACCACGTCTGGGTCAAGGTGCACAGGGAGCAGAAAACAGTCATTATTAGCTAATTAAAAGCACAGGATTGGCATAACATCAAACTACAAAGCAGTACAGGAGGAAGAAACAGCAGATTTGACAACCCCAAGCCTTTGACACCTTGACAAATCCCCTTGCTTTACTGGAATAGTCCAAAGAAAAGGGCCATCCAAAACCTAATGTCCTGGTTTTTTAATAAAAGATTTAATAACATGTAAACGACTAAACCTCTGGTGCTGTAAGATAGCTTGGGGATGTAGTGCCTCATGTATTACATTCTGCAAATTCTATCAATCTTACTGTTTGCTTAGCACAATTTTGTGGTTAAAATAAGGTTTCACTTTCTGGCACGCATCCCCGCGCTCTGGTCTGGACGGTTTTACTGGGAACCAGTGTGAGACGTACCCCAAAAGCGAGATCTCTTGTTAAACGGAGTTTCGGGGTGGCGATTCTACACGGTCCGCGCTACCGTCCGGACACGCCAAGGCTGCCGAAACGACCGGCTCCGGGACCGGAGTCCCCAGAGCCGGTCTGACACGGTCCCGGAGCCGGGGATGCTTTCAGATAAAATACCGGTCGCACTCAGAAAACGGAAACAGCGTTTTGTTGTTGTTGTTGTTGTTGTTGTTGTTTTGGGGGGCGGCGTTATACTGGTCACCTCGGGCGGAATAAGAGGCTTACATTAAAACGCAAGAAAGCTCCGAATCGGGTCCCATCGGACGCCTTCGATTAAAATAAAATAAAAATAATAAAGCCCTTACGCCACGCGTGTGTTCATAAAATATATTTTATTAAACAGACGCGTATTTGGTGGCCGTCAGTAAAATCACCGGATTTAGCTGTCAAGACATTTCCAGCGGGATTTGTCCCTTCAGAAAACCAGCGCTGGTTCGGCTGGTTCCGTACCTCTAAGGCCGTGCGATATTTGACTACCGGTGCACAACCCATCTCCGCACTGATACACGTACCCCGCTAGCGACAACCACAGCTGCACAAGGGCCCGTCTCCTCCCGCAGGCGCCGACTTACTGCTGTCCACCCGGGCAGCGCAGCTCAGCTCACGGCCCCCGCTCGGCCGCGGTCCGCCCCTCACAGCATGTAGATGATGTAGGACAGGATGACCAGTCCGATGATGGCGAAGAACATCAGGATCAAGATGTCCAGCATGGTGATGGAGACGGAGGCGCCGGGATGCGGAGAGGAGGAGGAGGAGGAGGAGGAGACGCCGCGGCGAGAAAGATGATCAGACCCAGGGTGAGCAGTGGGGACTGAGGTGTGTGTGTGTGTGTCTGTGTGCGTGTTGTGGGTACGGTAACCAGGAATGGACAAATGCCGACGGTGGGGCGGAAGTCAGGTCTGCACACACCGGGGAGAGGGGATTCAGAGCAGCCGCAGCACAAACGATCGATTGCGCCCCCTGCGTTGAAAGGGGAGGCGTCGCCAGATGCGCTGCGCCCCCCCGGAATGTGTTCCGGGATTTTCCGGAGGAGGAGCGGAGCGCCGCAGCAACCCGGGAGGGGAGCGGGGTGGCGTTTCCGACAGTCCATTCTCGCGTGAGCCGGCTGTCCGGGTGACGGGTTCCTGAGGACACGGCCCGGCCTGCGCGGCTCCTGTACGTGTGGACAGTAGAGGGGACGGAGCGGCTATTCCTGGCAGGGAGCTCTGCTCCGCCCGAAGTCCGGCTCCAGCCCGGAGCGGGCGGTAGGAGTCGCCCTCAGCAGGAGTAAACCTGGTGAATAAGGTGCAGCCGCACACACATTAGGACGCATATTCGGGATGCAGGGCAGCTGTGACGGCTGGGCAGTAAGTTTAGGCAGACGGGCTAAACCGCACTCGCCTTCTTAGCCGAGGCAATTGCAGGTAGACGTGGGGCGTGAAGGTGCAGCTGAAGGCGGGGAGACGCGAGTGCCAGCAGGCTCACGGGAGCCCCCACACCCCTCACCTCCCTCCTGCGGTCAGTCTCCGCAGGCGTGTCCGCGTACCCGGCTCTCCCGGGACGGGCCAGGTCGTGATGGGCACTCGGGACCTTAGGGGTCCGAGCTGGGATAGCCACCCGTTTCTGTGCGAGCAGGGACATTTCCCCCTCAACCCAATTGGAAGCAGTCAAGCACACACAACATAACAGACTGTAAAGGAGAGGCGGCCCGGGAGCTGGCTCCCGGTTGGCTCAGGAATTAAAACCGCTGCGATGATCTCTCCCTGCTGCCCTCCGAGAGGAGCCGGGGCATCAGCCGGGCCCCGACTCCCTACAGCCTTCCGGAAGGAAACCGCCTTCGGTTTCCAATGCGCTCGCCGGTAGCTTCCGCTGGCCTTACCTTCCGAGTCCGAAGCCGTCTGCTGGGCCGACCCGTGAGGATCGGGAGGAGCCGACGCCGGGGCCTCTCGGACGGGGACACACGAACCCCCACGCTCCAAAATCCGGCTGACCTTCCCCGTGGACCGAACGAGAACGCGAGGGGGCTCGGTGGCACCCCCCAAAACAGCCCGAGGACAGCCAAAGGAAGACTCTCGGGCCACGCTGGGTACAAATGACAATTTATTGAATTTGGAGATTCGGTCAGTACAGGTGTCAATGCTGTGACGCAGACAGCAGGGATGTTGAACGAACCTCGAGAGATCACAGGATTGGCGAGTACTAACGAAAATCAGGACGGGGGGAAACCGACCACGACCTCAATATGGAATGCATTGGTTTCTTAATTCGGGGTTCCCCCCCCCAACATGTAAAATAAAAGGAAATTTTAACAATAAAAAAATTAAGACAGTTTAGCACAAATAAAGCGTACTGGTCGATCACCTCTCCTGGGCTGAAACGCTCCCTTGAGGACAGGCAGAAAGACGAACCGGGAGGGCGGATCGGGGCGGAAAACGGGAGAAGCCGAGAAACTGAATGGGGATAACGGTCCCTTGAGGTTGGGGAAGGAGGGTCAGGGAAATGGGGAAGAGTGTGTATAAGGCAGAGTGAATCAAGACCCCCCTCAACCCCACCATTAATTGAGAGACACAGAATAGTCAGGGGACTAAGGCTCTGATCACATACCAGGAAGTGGAGAGTCGCGGAGTGACCACTCCCAGCACCAAAACGCAAACAGGTGTGCTGAAAGACCCTACCTAGGAGCAAACCATCCTAGCTGTTCCCACTGCTAGATCAGCCCTTTCAAAGATCTCCTGAGCTCCAAGACACAGTAAAACCTACCACGTCAGTGCATCACCATCTCCAACCAATAACCAGTAACTGCTCAGCTCCCTGCTGAAATAGCGCCTTGTCATTAACTCCAGAGGCTGCCCTGGGAGATACCCTCCAGTGTCACCCAGTAGCCCAGGACAATGCACCAGAATACAGTTTAAAATGAGCAGTAAAACATCCAGTTGTTCTTTGAAAAATGAAATGTACAGTTCTTGAAAACTACGTAGACCCCCTCTCCCCTACGTAATAGGGCTGTCTCCACTTGTGTGGCCGTAAACTGGGAGAAAAAACACACTTTCTATCATACCCTGGAGAAAGGTCTCCAGTAGCCTGCAGCCTGTGTGAAGTGGCCCTGAGGTTGTGGTGAAAACTGCTGCACTATGTCCTTCTCTATCAAAGAAGACACATCTGGAAGTGTCCAGTACAAGGTTTTCTTATGAAGGACAGCGCGTGTGATGGGTAGAAATTAGGATCCGCTGTACAGACCTGGAGGGCGAGTTTACTGGATGGGTGATGCCTGGTCCCTCCTATCACACACTGGACAAACTGGAGATCAAGAGCAGGTCTCCAACACTGAGCAAACCCCTGTAGCTCTACAGCAACAAGCCCTCTTTCCTAACACAGCAGAACGGGCTAATTTCCTTCCCTCACTACAAACCTATGTTGTAAATATATCTTTTTTCAACAACATATGTGTCAGGCCCCACACAATGCGTCAAGGCAAGATCTAAGACACATGTGTACCTGCCATGTTGTGTACAAGGCATGTGGGCACATGACTCCAGATCAAAGCCATCTGTTATAATAACAAGGGGCTCCAAGTAGTTCCACTAACTTTCACCTCCTACAAAATCCACAGCACGGTTCATACCCACTCCCAGCCCCACCCACGACTCGGGCCACTCATCTTTCTGATAAACATGGATGGAATGGACAACATCAATGCTTCACACCTTGGATTTGACGTTTTTACCCCTTCAAAATCCCAAAATCCCTTTTTTAAATCCTGAATTTTTTAAAATCTAAATTTATACATACATAAATTACACCTTGATTCCTTTCCATTTTAATAGCCAAAAATAAAAGTATATTTTCCTCCCCCCCTGCTCTTTTAAATCACAGTGCAGCATTAAAAATAGCAGACATGGGTTTTAATGGAATGTCACTGATAACACACGTGAGATGGAATGTTAGGAAGACCCTGGCGATATGCTGGACTGTTACATGTGATGCGCACACAGAACCCTGCCACGTTGCAAGCAGTATCCACAGGATTGCCGCTGCCCTCCAAGATTTGCAAATATGTGTGTCAGACCCTGCACGGGGGTCCAGGTACCGGCTACTGTGCTTGCCCGGTATTGTCCCCTGTCTGGGGTTTGGTGTGTCTGCGCATCCAGAATGGCTGAGCTAGGGATGTTCCTGCTGGGAAAGGCCAGGACTCTGTGTGCGCACTGTGCAGAGAGATTCGATGCTACACACTGCTCCCCACCACCGGAGGAGGAGGAGGCCAGGTCAGTCAGAGCCCAGAACCAACCCCAGCCCAGCAACCCCATTTTGGTGCAGCTTCCCCCCGATTTCTACAGAGAAGGCCCAGTTAAGGTGCTGACCGGCTTCCAAAACCTTTTGCTCCAGCGTCAAAATTTGCTCCATCTTTTCCGACTTCCGATGCAACTACAAGAGCAAGTGAAAAGGATCTCTCTGCAAGACACGGAAACAAGCAGACCCTGCTCTTTTGTAATGGATTAGCAGGAGCAGAGGGCATGATGTTCACATACGCCACAGCACCCATCTTAGTCTTCGTCTTGGTGCCACAGGCGCTGACTGAACACGTCAAAGCCAGCAGGGGTGCCGGCGGGGCCTCAGGGTGCACTTCTGAAGCGTGACGGAAGAGCCCGTCGGCTCCTCTGGAGTACCAAGGCTAAGGGCTGTGATCCCGGGTGGGACAACACCACGCTGGCTGGATCTATCTCGGAAAAGGACTCCAGGTTCTGTTTTTTAAATAAAAGTGGGAGCAAATATCGGTGCTGAAGCAAAAGACCTTGTAGGCGTTTTAGCCAATGACAACCAACCAAGGTGGCCGGTCCAGCAGCTCTGTGAAGCCGGTGGAGAAAGGCGGCTTTGAGACATGGGTGTCGAGGTCAGCTCTGAAACCGCACTGCGGTCACCTCCTGCAGGACTGCCTGCGGCTCTGGCCGTCCAGCGCAAAACACCGACCCGACTTCCCGCCTTCCGTTTTGTTAGAGAGAAGATTAACGGTTCAAGTTAAAAAAATATACTCCCTTTCTTCAGAAAACAGGACAGTGAGGGTGAAGAAGCAAAAAATAATCCTGATAACATTGCTAATAACAGCAATGCCCTCAGCCTTTATCATCGCCGTTTTAATCCACATCTTTCTATGTTGTGGATTAATGTCTGGAATGTTTCTTAAAATAAAAGAATAAAGTGTAAAATTCATGATCATGTTTTTTTTTTTCCCATTTCAGAAACAGGTGCTTGGCCCCTTGACTTACAGAAACTTACAGCACAGCACTGAGTTCAACGTTAACAGGGACCTGGCAGATCTTGGCTGTCGCTAGCAAAAACAAACTCCGCCACACTAGACATTACAATAGCCTCCTGGTAGCTTTCAAAGAGGGACACGCGAACAGCGAGATTATTTTAGGCAGAAAAAAAATAGCTTCGTTTCAGAGGCACAGACTTTTAAAATTCCATTCGCTGAACTGCTGTGCAAAAGCTCTCCTTCTTAAACTGTTTACATACGGCCATGTAATAGACCATATATGCCTAAATCTTTGTGAATCAGTGCATAGCACAGCTGGGCGATGACGTTCCTAGGACTTACAGCACCTCCTTTTAATGCCATCCAGACCCTGCTCTTGATCCACAATGATCTCAAAACGAGATCAAGTGCCTTCAACTCCACAACTCTACAAGGAAGAACCGAAATGAAGCTCCTCTCTCGCTGGGTTTACAGCAGGGGCCACACTGTCTGCACATTTCTGGCAGTGGACCCCCGGTGCTTGAACAGATGACATAAACACCCCCCACCCCCAAAAAAAAACGTCATGGAATCCCGTGGACCAAGCGCAGTTGCTTCTGGAGGTGTGGAGGGTTTCTCAAGCTCCACGGTACTGCGGTGGAGCTCTGCATTAAGAAGACGGAGACAGCGTCGCACACTGGATACATAGAGGCATCAGCGCATTCACAAGGCCAGAGCTAAGCTTGCAGGATAATAACAGTATCGCATAGCTGGTAAGCTGTGTCTTATTAAGAAGGCGCTGGAGGGTGGGGTGTCTCAGTTTCTTGTATCAGATTCCAGTTCTATCAGCCCCCCCACACGATTCTCACAGCTATACGATCGAGAAGCAAGAGTATATACTGTATGTGTAAATGCATATATATATATATTATTTTAAAGGCTTTCTGTGGCACTGGTAACTTGATTGAAAATGTAATTATGTATACCGAAGACTTTTTTTAAAAAAAGAGAATGGAATGATTCAGAAAACAGGAAAATGAACGTGTCTGTTTTTATAAATAACTGGCAGACGGGAATGGGAGATCTTAATGGACGGCTGCCAGAGTGTGGCGCTGTGCGTGGCAGGAGCCTGCAGAGGTGCGCTCGGGTGTGGGAGCCCTGGAGGGGGAGGGGGGGTGGGGGGCTGACACTGCAGAGGACTGAGGACACAGGCTTGTTAGCACCCAGAGCACAGCGCAGCCCGGCAAAGAGGAGCCCAGGTGGGTGTGGGCGGGGAGGAAACGGCAGAATCATGATCAGCAGAGAGAGCGAAGTAAAGTGAGATGGCGCTGGAAACTTCACCCTCCCTCCAGCCCCTCCCCACTCCTTTCTCCCCCTCCCCCCCCCGTCTCGGGGCGCCCAGGTCAGATGGCCTCCACGTAGTTGGCGGGCAGCATGCCCTGCTGACCGGTGCGCTCCACACGGCCGTACATCCAGCCCTCGTCGATCTGCTGCACGTCCAGGATCATGTCTCCGTCCTGGAAGGACACCTCGTCCTCGTCCGCGGCCACGTAGTCGTACACCGCCCGGTACCGCTTCTGCAAAAAGGGGAG